GCATCTTCTCGCGTGGTACCACTGGTTTCTGGCGCGGGCGTGGACGTCGCTGGATGAGCTGCAAGAAGACGACTGCGCGATGGACCTCGAGGCCGAGGGAATGGCACATGCTGACGCGGATTCAACGACATTTGCGCCAGTGACATCGACTTTGCTATCCACAGACGCGGTCCGCAGCGACAACCAAGTCGATGACGCGCCATCGACGACGCCAGACTCGCTCGACACCGTGCTGCACATGATTGACGGCTACATCGACTGGCTCGCAGCATCGCCGCGCGAGCTCATCGAGGTCGACACCAACAAGAACAACAACAACCAGCCCGAAGGCGACGACGGAAAGGTCAAAGGACGAGCCGATTTGACGCCCGAAGTCGACACCGAGATTGCGATGACAACAACGACGTTAGCCAGGACAAAACCACCGGCGAAACTGGCGCGAAGCAAGCCGCCAACATCCAAGCTCGGTCATTTGGCCGCTGTCGCGCCAGCCAAGGCAGCGAAGCGGCCACCGAAAGTAGGCGCCGAAAGCGACACCCGCCCGCGCTTTGTGACCGTGTCCCGCAAGCGCAGTTACTTTTCAAAGGCTTAAAGGAGGTAAACTTTCGGGCTTTGGCGCCCTCGAGGATTGGCTTGTCGTTCATGCGTTGATGTACGTTTACTGGATTACCTTGCGAAGCTTGTTGGCGTGGGGTCGACGCCTGGGCCCGGACGAGCCTGATAAAATGAAGTATTTTTCAAGCTCCGTCAGTCGTAAAGCGTGCCACCCTTCTTTATCTAGAACCCGTGAGTTGGTTCAACTTGGGTGCTAGAAGCGACACAGTTATACGAGGGAATAGTACGTTAAGTCGTAATTTTATGCCCTCGGGGGTACTCGTCGCTATGAGGTTGATTCTTCTGGTCGTGTTGTGTCTGGTTTGGTCACGCCATGCCAGGCTGATGCCAGCGTGTATCGCTGGAGAGTTCTGACTCCAGGAACCCGGTATGTGCGTCGTGTAGATAGGATAGGGCTAGGTGCCATCCATGTACAGATTAAGTCCGGTAGCAACCCCTTTGCAGCCTCTTGGCGATGGTCTCATCCGACACAGCTTATCTTTCTATCCTCAGCGCCACCATCCTTCATCGTCTCACTTCACAATCTGCCTTTGTAGCGTAATTCAATACAACTGCCTGCTTCCTCAAAAATCGCTCTTCCCCCGCTGCGTTGTCTGCGTCGTTCCGTGGAAGCCACCACAGTCGTCGCTCTCTGGTCGTCGCCCGGGATTTGCATCAGGTCGGTCCATGTCCAGTAGCGCTGCGGTATCACTGGTGCCACGGGTCGAGATCGCCTCGGATTGCGGTGTCGAATATTGCACTTCTGAGGGGACAATACATTGTACACAGTACCGTACTCCGTCGACACTGGAATCTACAAGACGTACCGGTAGGTATGTAGCTGGTTGTCCCTACCGACCACGCATGCACTTAAAAACCGGTGGCGGACCGGCTAACAGTGTCCCTGCCACAGATCGCGTTTGGACGCATTTGATTGGCCAAGTCCAAAGCAGCACGCCACGGATTGGTTGTATCTTTTGACATATCTTTGATTCGGCTCCAAGCCCCTCAGTTCCAGATTTGCAGCGTCGCATGAAGAGCCTCTTCGTGCTCGCAGCGTTGGCCGCCGCGTCGGTCGCGGCGACGCCCGACCCGACCTACTGCCCCAACATCTTTTACCAGGCCGGCAACCTCATTCTGCAGAGCCCATTCCTCCTCTCGCAGGACGCCAGTGTCACCAATGCATGGTGCGTCGCGTAGCCATGCCGCAAGAGCTGACTCTTTACGTAGCCACTCGTGCATTGCCAAGCTGGCGGCGCAGCAGACGTACGCACCCTTGTGTTACGTCATCGGCATGCCCGGCTACGACCCAGCGTACTCGATTGCGCAGGACTGCCACTGCCTCTCGCTCGGGCTCACGGAGGCGTGTGCGCAAGCGTGTTTGCCCAACCCGATTTGCTCGGCCAGCTCGGTGCGCTCCGAGTGCACGGCGTGCGTCGCCAAGAACGCCCCGTCGACCTGCGACCGCAACGCCTGGTCG